GCCAAAACATCATTCTACATGATAGTTTCCTATTCCAGGAGAGTCCCATGTTTCTTTGTTAAGCACAATTGTTGAATGAAAGAAAAAGGTGAATACAGATCCGGCGGCCCCCTCTCACTTTGCAACATTAGTAGTTGATCACTGTGAAAAACTTAAGGTTAAATTCTCATGGCAACCATTACCACAGCTTCTGTGTGAACTGGAAATGACAGAGAGGATGAATGCATCACTGGCAAAAGCTTCATCCCCAGTGACAGCTGTCTGCTCCTCACCATCAAAAGAATAAGTTGGTAGATGGGTAGTGTGGGCGGCTGAGATCATTTTATTCATAAAGATATTCACAATTCCCTGATATGTACGGAATGGAGGTCGTCAGTGAGAAGAGAAATATGGCAGAATAAGGTGAAAATATTGATTCTAGCCTATAAAGTTCAAGAACAAGACTCGTTCAAAAGTGTTTTATAAACTGTTAATCACAGATAAATAGGTTGTATTTGTTTGCCTATATATACACACACTGTATGTGTATGTGTGTGAGTGTAAAGATCCAGCCATCTATTGGATTACCCTGGGCAAATCCCTTTTTTCCCAGTGTGGAAAAAGATGCCGACCAGAGCGACCCAAAATGAGAGGTCGAAGCTAGACAGAGCTAAAGGAATGAAAGAGGATGTGTGAGAGAGCGAGCCTTATTGAACAGATCCACACAATATGAGCCAGCATCCTGACTCACTGTCCCAGTTTATCTGCTTATGCAACAGGGCTAGCGGAGTCCATTCTCTCCCCTCTTGTCACTTGCTCCCAGGAAGGGCAGAGGAGGGGAGGGGAGAAACTGAGAACTTTTTTAGAGAGTGAGGGTGAAAGGGAGAGCAGTGTTGGTGCAGCTGCAGATTAGCAGGGGAAAGAGAGGAGAGGAGGGGTGAGGAAGGACTGAAGTGGAACAGAGATGGAGGGAGTTTTTAGCCACACTGCAGGGCTTTGTCAGCATCCCTGCATGGCTGCTATGAAAAACACTTATTTGCCATCAAGTCTCTTTCACATTGACTCCTTTCCCCTCATAGATACTCTATAATTTCCTCTCTGTTTCTCCTACGTTTCCTTCTCTGCTTGTGTTTTAAGGCTGCTTCTCATTCTTTGGCAGGGACATTGAGACAGTAGTGAACAGTGAAATGAAAGCCAGTGATGTCAGTGTCTGTCTGTCAGAGAGAGGAAGACGACAGGGGAGCCGCTGAACGGTCATAGTTCCCAGCTGAGTGTAATTCAAGGCTGTGTCATTTATCTGAAAGAGGACGAGTGGCTTATCTCAGTGTCCTTGACCCACTATACCCTCGCACTGTACTGCTGGCACAGAAAACCTAGTGCAGGATGGATGGTGTGTGTGGATAAGGCCCATAGAGATAGTGGGCAGGGCAGTACACACATCAGAGAAGAGTGAATTGAGCATAAACGGGTAGAGAAACATATTTTTTTTCTGTTTTATGGTTTTAATGATCAGGTTTTAATTCAATTTTGTTTGGTTTTTCTTTTGAACTCCCTTCTTTGAATCTTGTTTCAGGTCTTACTTGTATTCCAAAACCCTACCCTTGATATCTCCTCTCTACACAAAGAAAGCAATGGTGCAGTAAAGGGCCAGCATGGTAAATGTCAATCAATGACCAGTTCTAGTACAGCTAAATGAGCTAATGGAGCATTGACAGTTAATCAGTTAATCAAGAGAAATCTCCTCAGAGTTGGGAGGATTTGCTTCTTTTCATGACACTACTGCAAAGTTAATATCTTTGGGTTTTGGACTGTTAGGATAGACTTTTGTCTTTTAGCAAGATTTGTTTTGAGTGGCATGGTGGTACAGTGGAAAGCACTGTCGCCTCACCACAGGTCCTTGGTTCATACCCCTGTTTGGTAAGGGGCCTTTCTTTGCGGAATTTGCAAATTGTGTCTGCATGGATTTTCTCTTGGTACTCCGGACATGTTGGCCCTGTGATACACTGGCGACTTGTCCAGCATGCGCCCTGCCTCTTGCCCAAAGTCTAACCCTCCTCCCCAGACCCTTACAGGATAAATGATAGCCCTGTACTGCAGAAATACGCCATCGAAACCATCACTACCCACCTGAAAATATCCCCTCACCACTTTGTTTTTAAAAGTGGTTGGCACTGTCATAACCAGACTGCCACTACTTGTAGTAGCAGTCACGAAGATATAGAAGATGACAAGGGAAAGAGGATAGACGGGATGATACAGGAACAAACAGTGGGAGAAGTAATATGGAGATAAATAGAGGAGATAGAATGTAAATATGGGAACACTAGTAAGAGATGAAACAGCAGTGAGATGGCAGTAATGGTGATTAACAGGTAAGCTATATGTCACAGAGACACGGCTGGTGTTTGAAGGAACCTGTATCAGCCTCTATTGTATTTCAGCCCTTTTGGTCACGCATGAGTGTGCGTAGGCTTATGTGCGTGTGTGTGTGACAGGGGGTTGTTGGGGGTATGTGATATGGTGGAAGATTGGAGGGGTGCTGTGTGCTGACAGCTGGCTTCTATAAATAAATGTCGTAGGCAGGGGGGAGACGTGAGGGTGAAAAGAGAGAGAGAGAGCGAGAGGGAAGGAGGAGAGGAAAGGGGACAGAGGATGGGTGGGCTGATAGAAAGGGACAAATACAGATGTACAGAGAGACTTAAAAGAATGTGTTGAATGTCCTGCGCTCCAATCATGACTTGCTCAACATGCAGAACAACCAATCAGCAGTGAGGTCATGTGCTGGCTTCACGCTGACTTGTCTTTTGTGAAATGTGTCATGAATGAGAACTACAAAGTGTGTTGCTGCTACATTTTTTATCTCACATCAGTGTTGCCCTGTCAGCTTCCTTCCTGTGTTAGTTCGACTCTAGTGTGTGACGCAGGGAACTCATCACATCCAGATTACAGTCAGGAAAAAAGACCAAATAAAAAGTAAGGCAGGCAAACGGAGTAAAGGTTAGTTTAGAAGCCACAGATAAATAAACAGAATTCCTGCAAAAGTGACTGTCAAAGACTACATCTCTTTTTCCATTTGATTGTTTGTTTGTCAGAAGGATTACACAAAAACTGAAATTTGGTGGAAGAATGGAATATGGGCCAAGAAAGAACATATTCAATTTGGTGCGGATTCAATTTCTGTAACATTGTGAGCAGTTTTCAACATTCCCACTGATTTCCCAGGGAATAATACATGGATATTGTAAATATCAAGTGGATTTAAATGTTGTCTCATAAGGGGACTGTTGGGCCTTGGTGTAAGGTATGCACTCTACTGAGTGCCATTCTAGTTTGTCATTCAATCGCCCTGTCGGATCATGTCCTGTAGATGAGCTGCTTGGTAACAACTGATTGAGAAGTACTGTATCACTGACACAGGCAACTTTCATTCTCCTGCCTCCAGTTACACAGTGTGTGTGTGTGTGTGTGTTTGTGCGTGTGCGTCCGTGTGTTCGCGTTCAGGGTTGGGTTGGGTTCCCTGCCTTGGCCCAGCTATGAAACACTGAGCACCTGCCTGTCTTCCTGCAGAACTGATGTCCCTGCATACCTAGTTTACCTGTCCGCCTGCACCTCCATGTGTGTGTATATGTGTTTAAATGTGAGTGGGTGGGTGGGGTCATGTAATCAGGCGACATCAGTCCATTAGGAGTCTTCTCTCTCTGACTTCCTCTTTTTCTGCTTGCAATGCAAACCACTAACAGACTTGTGACAGACATATTTCTGTCAGCAGTTACATGTTTGTAATACTGAAGCTGGACTGATTATGTACTGTACACGTGTATTAGGGACAGAATCACACAGAAAGAGAAAGGGAGAGCGTGTGTTAATGTAAATGAGATAAATACTTTAAAGTTTAAACATCACTGACACTGTTACTGGCAGCAGGACAAACAGTGGGTCTTTTTCTGTTTATGTCTCAATATAAACCACTGTTACAATAGATAAATAATCATCTGAAGTTTATTCCCAAAATGTGTAGAAGACTGTAATCTGAAGTTAGTTCCATTCTGTGTGTATCACGTCATCATTTTCTCAGTTGTTTAGGTTAATTGCAGTTTTTTTTAGCAGGATCTAAAAAGTCTTATATGTCCTAAATACATTAAAATATAACATACTAGCAGGACTCATTACGTTAAGGTTCATTTAATGATTCATTTTATGTTGAGTTCTCTGGTTCACATTCAGGTTGTCTGTGGGAAAAACTACGTCTGTGCCTGTAGTTTTTGAAATAATGTTGCGTTTCGAGGGTTATTCTCTCGCTATACACCTAATCTTCAATCATGGGGAAGTGTAAGTGATTCTGAGATATTCCTTTGTGTCTATTGCCTTGTGTCTACTAAATTAATCCATTATGGTCTTAAAAAGGTCTGTAAAAGTCTTGTTGAAACCTGCAGAAACCCTTCTGTTTAAAAAGTGGATTATTTTTATGTCTGTTTGAAGATAAAATGAAAAGTGTCCCCTAGGTTTCAATCCCAAGACCAATTTTTTTTCTGCTTTCAGTGTTTATTAGTTTAGAAAAATGTGTCTACAGTTGTTGGAACAGTTACAACACCCTTAAAAAAGCATTTATTGCCCAAGCAGCCAAAAATTCTACCCATGACTTGTCTATAAATGTCGCATCTGCATATCTTATGCTGAAATTAAAAAAAAAAGTTGAAGTTATAAAGCAGTCTAAGCAGTCCATTTAGAAGCAACTAAATGATTTCCTTTCAGCTCAGAAGCCACTAAAGTGCATTGACAGACTGTGAGCAATATGTGTAGTGAAGTGTTTGCTCTACCAAACACATTGAGTTGAAAGCTTTCTGTTGAATTTACAATGCTGTTGAAGAACACTGTCTGAAGGAATCAGTTTCCCCTGCACATCACCCAGCTGCATGTCTGAGGAAACAGCTAAATGATTTGTGTGTCACTTCCTCACACTTCCTCCTCCCCCTCCGTCTCTCTGTCTGACTCTCGTTCTCCTCTCTGCTCTGTCGCTGCAGCCTTTAGCACAGTGGTGCAGGCTGCTGCCCAAAGATGCTGCCAAGATGCCGGAGAGCGCGTGGAAGCTGGTCTTCTACACCATGTCGTGGTCCTACAGCACCTACCTGCTCTTCTTCAGCTCCTACTCCTTTTTCCACGACCCGCCCTCTGTCTTCTACAGTAAGATACACAAAACACGGATGATGTGACCTCATGTAAAGTTTACTTACTTAGCACCAGTCATGTTTAGGATCTGTTTAACTCTTGTTATTGCCATCAGATTCAAATAAAAAAAACATGTGAAGGCTAAAATCCATCAGAGAATCTATATTTTCGGAATATGTTGAAGTGAAATTGAATAACGCTAAGCTTTTGAGCCCAGAATCATTTCTTTTGTTGTGTAAAGCCAGTCCCAATTGGACTCCTGTTCAACTCCACCTTGAGTGGAGCCAGCAAAAGCTGTTTGACAGCACCAAGTTGATCTTGAGGAGCTGCATCACCTCTAATAGCTGTCAGCATGAGATGCACAGTAGCAGTGTAATTTGGCTTGACTGTTAGGGAGAAACTGAGAGAGAGATCTGAAGCTGCAATAAAGAGATGGTGATTTAGAAAATGTGAAGTCTAAGGGAGGAGGAGCAGAGTCTGTGTATCTTGAAGAAAAGAGAGGAAGTTCCAATCTCCTGGAGAAAAAAGAGGCTCCTGTTCCCATGCCTCCTCTTGGCAGCTTCTCTGTTGTGATCCATCCAGCAGCTCTCTTCTCAATGTTTAATGACCGGAGGTTCAATCAATAAACATTACACACTGCCCGAGCGTAACCCCATCCCGCCTGAGACCAACCTCACTCAAACATCGCAGGAGAAAGTTTCCGTCCAACATCTGATAGCTTTCAGGGACATGAGCTTTCAGTTGTGTGACCTGCAGTGTTTTAGAAACCCCCTGTAACGCTCTCCAGAGTAAACTGGACCCCTCACACAGCCACCCCGGAAGTCACTGTTTATAGTTCAGTATCTGCAGATATTTTGAATACTCTGTGTCCAGATGGATGTGTGTATACAACAATGATATTGCTGTGTATACATCATATTTATCATCTGCAGCAGATTTCCCTGTGGCACATGAACTGCACACGTGTCTTTACATTGAAGAGACTCATTAGAAATCTCTCTTTGAGCTGCTGTATCAGCTGATTTTAAATTAAAAGATTCTTAATGTCCTGCATCAGCTCCTCACTGCCCCCCTTGTCTCCTTCCTGCTCCTCTAGATTGGAAGAGCGGTATGTCAGTGCCTACAGATATCGCCATCGCCTACCTGATCCAGGGCAGCTTCTACGGCCACTCCATCTACGCCACAGTCTACATGGATGCGTGGAGAAAGGACTCTGCCGTCATGGTGGTGCACCACATCATCACACTGGCACTTATCTGCTTCTCCTACGCCTTCAGGTATTTTATTCTTCGACACACTTTTGACTTATAGGTTTTTATAGGTGAGTATAAAACTGTCACCAAACAGAGGAATAAAACTCAGCTGCTGTTGCATCTGATATTTAAGACAATGTCTTATCATCGAGTTTATGTCATGTTACCACATCAAGGCAGTTGTGACACACAAATAAGCACAGATGCTCAGAGTCATGTGAGTAATGAATTACACTGTTGACTGTAGTTCATTAACTCGCTTTCAGCAGCTGGCAGCATTTATGGCTTCTTGCAGAACAGAGGCATAGCCGGTCGGTTGATTTTCATTTATCTGGTCGGACCACACAATAACAACACAGTGTAACACAAAATAAATCAAGTTATCACAAAGCAGCATATGCACGTAAAGTCATTTTACAGAAAACATGATATAAGAGCCACAATTGTCACAATAAGAGGAACAGGGAAATGGATAAAACCAAAATCTGAAACAAACCTACTGGAGCAAGGTTAATTTCCAGTAATAGAATAAATGTAAATGAAAACATTGATTCTTACTTTAATTAAAGAGGGTATTGCAGTACAAATTGTTTCTGTTTTGTTCCCTCAGATATCACAACGTGGGGATCCTGGTGTTGTTTCTCCACGACATCAATGACATCCAGCTGGAGTTCACCAAGCTCAACATCTACCTGAAGACCAGAGGTGGAGTCTATCACCTGCTCAACGACATCCTGTCCAACATGGGCTCTGTCAGCTTCAGCATCACTTGGTGAGGCTTCACAAACACGCGCGTTTTTCTGTCTGCTTCTTATTTGATCGCGAACAGACTGATGATCAATAAATATGCGTAATATTTCTGTTTGTGCTCTGCGCTGTGGTTCTATCAGGTTCTGGTTCCGTCTCTACTGGTTCCCTCTCAAAGTGCTGTATGCCACGTGTGTGTCCAGCCTCCAGTCTGTGCCCAACATCCCCTTCTACTTCTTCTTCAACACTCTTCTCCTTGCCCTGCTGCTCATGAACATCTACTGGTTCTTGGTGAGGACACAATACACAAATACTGAAAGTCAGTACAAGATTTTGTAGGTATTAAGTACAGGCTACCAAGTTTCCTTGTGTGTGCCTCTGTGCCGGTGACAGCCAGTTGTCCGTCTCTTCATATGTAAATATGTACTTTGGTACTACTATCTATCCCATTCTTGTAAAGACGCTATCTCAAGAACTCCTTGAGGGATTTTCTTTAACTAATTAGGATCGGCTGGTCAAGGGTCAAGGTTACTGTGATCTTGTAAATCATGTTTTTGTTCTTGTGAACGCAACATCTCATCAACACCTAGTGGGAATTTCTTCAAATTTGTTACAAATGTAAAAGATGAACTGATTGTATTTCGGTGGTCGAAGGTCTGGTGACCCATGAGTCTTGAAAAAAGGGTATATAGTATGTAGCCTGAAACTACACTGGTTGGCAGGGGGGGGTAATAATTAGTTTTATGTTTATTTGTCTGACACATTATGACATAATCTGATCCTTTTTTGTTTTCTGTTTTCCCCTCCTCTCTGTTGCAGTTCATTGTTGTGTTCGTGGTGAAGGTGTTAAAGGTGAAGGAGGTAAATGATGTCAGGGAGTATGAGGACGAGGACGGCAGCAAGGCGGCGGCAGGTCGTCAACGAGACCCTCAGGCGGCAAACAAAGATGATGATGATGCTGGACATCACAACTCTGCCCAGGGGTGAGCAGCACCTTCACATGCTGTCATTCCTTAAATCTATCACAGACACCACAGCCAGCTGTTGGCAGGTTTTCACTTTAGATGCAGAATTATTTTAGGAGCAGATTGGCAGGAAAACAAACCTGCTGTTTAAGATGCTATTTGTGTAATGCCCACATAATTAAAGGATTAGTTTTAACATGGGTCATTAACAAACTGATAAAAAGATGCTGCCTGCTGATTCCACTCCAGAGTTAAGTTCTCCCAGAGCAATGTGTAGTGCTGGTGGTGCTGCACTGCTGTTATGAAACCATGGAGAAGATGGACGACACGTATTCCCTTCCTCCACTATCCCAAAGTAAAATATCCTGGATACGAAGGCTGCCTTCCTGCTCTGAAGACGTGATCTGGAGTCAGAGTAGGGATCGGGGGGATGGAGCTGCAGTGTGAATGTCTCACTGATACACGCACTTGACCAATTGCGAGTCAGCCTTAGCTGTCAATCACGATATTTCACCTCGTTTGTATAGCATCAAATAACTAAAGGAAACCAAACTTTACTGGAAAAGTGAACAAGTGAACATACACCAGTGATAAGAACTACCTGAAATGACAGAAAACATCTTTTAAATTTTTATTTAATGTGTACTGTTTATTTTTTGGTCTGGCCCATGTTCCATCCAATAACATGGAGGAGGCAAAGTTTATGAACTATGACCTATACTGCAGTACTACTATTACTACTACTACTATTACTACTACTACTACTACAATCAGGCATTAATGTTGGAAAATGGTGCATGTGACACTTGGATGGATTTGATCAATATTGGAATCTGATGGGTGAACAAATAAGTTCATTTCATTTCCTGACTGATTATTTGATAATCATTGCTTCATAAGAAGAAGTGCAGTAGAGAATTCGTTTTTCTACCCATGAAGCAACTGTCTTGTGTAACTCAATCATCTCTTGTATTGCGTAAGCACTTTTCCCTGGTGAGCTTTAAACAGGGAAATGCTATCTTGACTAAAACCAGCGTGTTGTGCCATTATCTGAACGTACGGATGCATCTGCTTTTATCAGCCTTGTAGTATATGACCAACTCGAGCCCCCCCTATCATCTTCTGATCACTATCACTGCAACCTTTGACCACTTCATCTTCAAGACTCTGGAACTGCTGACGACTTCTTCCCCCATCCAGAATATTCTGAGAAAAAAATTGACTGTTGTGGTACAATTTAAATATTTGATAACTCAGGCAGATTAAGAGTTTTTCACTGTTGCCTCTTTCCTTCTTCCTGACGGCAGAAAGAGCAGCGCTCCCCCTGAGCTTGTGTAACAAACGTCCTGTAGGCTGATGGGATCAAAGACACTGTGACCATATGGACGTGTGATTATGTGGCTTCTTATCTGACTGGCCTTGAACACCACTGATATCCCCTCTGCCTGCTAATTCCTCACATCTGCTGATCACCTCAGGACCTGACCAGCTTATTCTCTCCTCCTCACTCCCCTCCCTCACCCCCCCTCTTTCTCTCTCTCTGCAGGAAGCACGTGCAGAACGGGGTCACCAAAGAGAAGCATCTATAATGGGTTCTCTGTCGCCACCACCTGGAACTAGGCTACAAGTACAACCAAGACGCTCTCTGTGGGACGGCTCCTTCTCAAATCGCAGCTCCTGAAGGGAAGAGTGCTTCAAAACAGAAAAGGAAGGAGAAGTCAGGGCACATTGAGTTTTTTAAATTTCTCTTTATTGGGTTTAGAACATTTGACTTCATCACTGTTTAGTTTTTTTTTGTATTAGAGCACTATGAATGTTATTTCAGGTGACTTTACGTGTTATTCTTGCTAACTTAACATTCACTAGATTCAGTAGAAACAAACCAGTGGGCTGGGCTGTGATCGTAGAACAGTGTCATATTAACTGTTATTATCATGATCAGCACAGCAGCACAAAGACCAGGTAAAGGATTAGTCCTGTTGTGGGTCTGTAGACCTGTAGTCACCTTTAGTAGCCCCACAGATAAGAGACACGCTGACTGTCGGGGTCAGACGTGTTTGCCGTCACTTCCTTTCCTCCTCCTCCCTCTTCTGACTCCGTCCTCCCTCTTTCTCTCTCCGATGGAGAACAGGCTAAAAGAATCCAACCAGAGGGAAACATCCCCTTCTCACGGGAACTGTCTTTATGTCGGCTGTGATGCTGGAGAGCTTGTCCAGGTGCTGTTACACCACATGTATTGATTTCTCATATCATTGCACAAATCAGTGGTGGCGACTGCACAGCTCTGCTCCCCCTCCCTGCATCCATTAGTGTGAATGGAAAAGCCACATTGATGTGTGTGGGTAAGCGTGTCGCGTGTGGGTGTGTTCCAGGATGCGGAGGAGCAGCCGAGTCTTTTAAACTCACAACATTTCACCTCTCAGTTTGTCTCGTGTACTGATGATCAACAGGTGATGGGAATATTCACTCGTTCATTCCCGTACAGAAAAAAAAAACCTTGTATTATTGTTTGTGTTTCCTCGTGTGTGTCCCAGCGTATATCTGCTGCTGCACTGACATGAAGGCATTCAAGCTGAACGTTGCTTTAATGACAGCCAATAGCTGGAATTGATAGATTGGGTTTTAAGTGTCACCCTCATGGTTTTAATTTGTGGAATTGAATCACGTTAATAACCGGTTCACATCGATTGGGGGTCTGAGGAAATAGGGAACAAACAGCCCAGGACTTGTTTTTAAGATAAAATTATGAAATAAAACATCATGTATGCACACATTATGGTATTTAGGAATGCATGATATCGGAATGATTTAAAAAAAAAAAAAAAATGCTATGAAATTGTCTTACAAACATTGAAGAAAAAAAATCATCTAACTGTGTAATCACATGTCTTTATAAATGTCTAAAATTCTTCCTGAACGGTGAGCAGCCGTGACCACTGAACACACGTGACGTCGGCAGACACAGAAACCTTCGTCTGGCATTGAAATGTGAATCTTTTAGCCGAGTCCTGCACGTGGGAGGATGTTTGATGCCTACGAACACGTTCAATTAAAGTGAAAGGGAACGATTTCATTTTGACCATCGTCTGTGGATCCCGCTGCTTTACTCTACGTGTGTTTAGTGGGAGCAGCTGCTGCACCTGTAGAAAATAAGGGATATTTCTACTCTTCCTACCTTCTCGATCAAATTCAAGCTTTTGTTTGGATGAACAGCTGCTTGTGCTGCTGGATCAGGCCGCAGATGTCGTCTGTCTGAGCGTTTGTCTTTTTTTTTTTTTGGTTTATCTGTTTGTCTTCCACGATTCTCACCTCAGCTATTTGAGGTGTTGAAACAAACGTTTTTCAGCAATCACTATTTTTGTTATTATTATTTTTGTCGCTGTAGTTCAGGTTATAATTGTTGATTTCTTTTGGAATTGCTGCTGTTTTAATTTTATTCTCTGAGAGCACTGTTTGTATTCCAGTTGTTGTTTTTCTGCTGTGTCAGTGACGTTCTGCTCAGATCAGATCATTTCCAGGGACCAGGGAGACGTAGGGAGACACAACAAACATCTGGATTTAGTTCCATAATCTCGTCTTTTTTAATCGAAATGCTGGCTCCCACTCATTTTACTGTAGTCATTGCACACGTGTACTGTAAGCGACATGCTTTATCAGACATGTCACTGTGTGTGTAATATATCAGGCACTCAGTGTCAGACTGGTTTTTACCGGCGTGGTGTTCTGGCAGGAAGTGACCCCCGGTGTCCTGCCCGCTCGACTGTGAGACTAGATTATCATAGTTTGTTGATTTATTGTTTTGGTTATTATGTGATAACAGACGAGGGACGGGTGGGATGACGCCCACAGAGTCCTGTGATCTGGATTAGGTGCATCTGGTATGGTACTAAGTGCAGAAGGTGCCTCTTCAGTTTCTCCACCGCTCTCCAGTTGTGTCAAACAGTGCTGTAACGATGAGAGGTGGGAGATATGAAGATGTACGTAATCACGATTTCAATCTGGGATTTAGTTTTTTCCTTAATATCATGCTAACTGTACTTTAAACATCGCTGGGTGTATTCAGAACAATATTTTTAATCTATTAGATGTTTTCTGGCTTTCTCAGTTTTTACAAATTATACTGATAACTGATTTTCTTACTTTAACCATGAAGAATTTATTTGTCCATTTATAAACTTTCAAACCTCGTATTACCACACATTGTCAGCACTGAGGAGCAATGCTTCCCAAACTAGGGGTTGGGAGACACAGAATGAGGGTCACAAGAGGATTTCTAGATTATGTGGCATCATTGTTTTGGGGGTCAGAGGCTGTTGAACCTCTCTGTTGATGTGAGTCCTGAACGATGCAAATGAGTCTAATAGTCTGAGCTCCGGCTCAGAGTGTTTTAATTCAACCTCATTCTTCCGCACGAGATGATTTTCTCACACACCTGTGTAAGAGCTGTGATATCACCCTGTGTATAAATGTCAGCACATGAAATCATGTATATTATGAGGATTTTGTCCCCCCCCCCCCCCGACTGCTACTCCCGCAACTGCTGAAACTGTCCAAAACTGAATGAAGATTGAGAGAAAGTCACTTTATTTTTCATTCTGATCTGATTTGGCTGATTCTTATTTAAATGTTTGATACAACATTGGCTCACACTTCACTAACACAGCTCATGTTTGGTTTACGTTGTTGGACACATGTCGCCTGTGAAGCTCAGTTCTGTCAGACAGCTCACGGGGGACGGATTTATTCCGTGTGTGGAGTTCAGAGTTGATAATTAGTAAATGTGTTGGCAAACAGATCAGTAAAATACCAGCAACTAGAATGATAATCAGTATCATCAGGTGTCCCTCCACCAAAGTCTAACAGTCCTCTTAAATTAAATCAACCAAGTACTCACACTCATGGAGACAATTCCCGAAAGGCATTTTGTTTTCAGGTCGTGACAATGTACATATGTGAGCACGATATGTCAAGTAAGCCTTGGAGGAATCAAAGATGAACTGATTCGACTTGAGTGATCAAAGATATTATGTGAGTCTTTAAAAAACTGTGTAGACAAACTGCACTGGTTGGAGGACTGTAAATTTAGTTCAATCAAGATCGATGCATTATTTCCAGGGAAATTGGTGAAAACATAAAAAATGTAATAAATAACTGCCCTATCCATCCCTCAGCGGGATCCGCTCCAAAATTGAATGGCTTCTCTCTTGGCCAATGTCCCATCACTCCCAGAAATCTGCTCAGTAGTTATTGAAGAATCCTGCTGACAAGCAAACCGAGAAGTGTGAAAACAACCTGCTTAGGTACCGACAGGAAGTCTGCAGCACATTTGAGATGCAGCTGGAGTTGGATGGTAGTAAACATGAGTTGTCTGAACTGACTCACAGGCGTCATGTCATTATGACACAAAGCGTCTGCATGATTGCGTCGATTGTGCCAAATCGTCCCCCTAAATAACGAGGTGTTTGTGGGAGCTGGTGAAAAGCTTGTAGAGAGCGGCGGTCTATAGAAAAGCCCTACAGGTGTTTCTTATAAATTGCACTGTAATTTATTAGTATTGTTTTTATTGTTCATTAGTAGATCTAAATTAGAAATAAGGGAGAATTTGGGATTTTTTTAACGACTTTCTGGTTTAAATCATAATTTAAATCTCTTCAATCAAAAGTGTATTTGAACGATAGATTTCAACAAAAGTGTAAACTCTATAAATTGCCCCGTTTGTTTGTTTTTGTTCTGTTCTATAAATCGGATCACTTTCTAAAATCTGACAACTTGAGACTTGCTCTTTTGTAATAGTTTTAATACCATTCAAGAAATGTTTTACTTTTTCCTCTCCCATAAAATAAAACTTGTCATTAAAACAAGGACATGTTTCTCATGACTTTTCCTTTGTCATCGTTTATTTTAAATCACAACTGATATCGTTGTCATCGCACAGATCAAGAGTCGAGGATGAGGTGAAACAAGAGTTCAGAGCAGAGTTCTTCTCAGTGCACACATGAAAACTGCTTCAATAAATTAAAAACTCACATGTACCACACAGTATTTCCCTCATGTTGGTGAATACACAGTCACTCTCTGTTGCGAGGAGGGGGGGGGGGGTTGATACAGTTCATGCAGTCACACACAGAAAATACTAAACAGTGAAAAAAACCCATGACACGCAAGGAAGGTGGAGGCAGAAAGATCAAGGAAACAAATACAAAGTTATTGTTGAAGTGACACAACTTATTACCTGGATGTGTTTAAGATCATTTATCTAATCCAACATTTTAAGACATTGATGTATAAATACTGCAGCTCTGGTTTGACACAGCTCTAAAAACCTTCTGATTGAGTCGGTTGTTTTTGCTTCAGTCAGCAAGAGACATGATTTCTACTGATAAAAAAGGAGTAAAGGGGGAAGTTTTATCTCATCGACTCCCACCGGCTCCGATTAGACAAGAAAACATGATTGTTGCGTGTGACCTTTTGGAACATGAGCGTTCAGATTAGAGACCTTCAGCATCATTTTTTTAATCAAATCAAGATAAAAAGAAAGACATTGAAAATGTGTAACAATCAAACACCAACAGAGAAATAAACCTGGAAAAAGGCAACGCAAAAAGAATCTGTTATCAAATTTCTATATATTAAATGGGGAGAAAGTTTCATACACACAATAATTATTTGAAAATGATTTTCTTTTCCATTCAGCTTTATTTTAATGTTAATTTACTCACTACCATCAAGATTAAATAAATCCTACTTCACATTTTATTTCGACAACTTGTCTTTTCCGTAAACTTGTATTTTCGGAGTCATTTTCTCGTCTGCTCATTGCAGCACTTGCAGACCTATATCTACGTTCTTAGTGACGTAATCCCCATGTCCTTACTGACTATGAAGAGATGTAGAACCAACAGATCGATCAATGAACAGAAACACAGGGAAACAGGTGGCTTCTACAGGAACTAATAATCTAAAGATGTGGTTGGTCAACACGTCTCTGAACAAAATTAATTCTGGACTAAACTCTGTGTGGTCAGTTTCCTTCCAGTCACCCAAGAAAACATGCAACATGAGTAAACTGAGGAGAGGAATTTAAAGGCAGTGTCACATAATCTCACTTCATCGGTTCGTAGACCTCTGAGTTGTGAACACATGATTTTAAATCTAACAAAAGAGTCAAAGAGTGAAATATTTCCAATACTTGGGATATCAGAAAACAAAGACGAGACATCTGTGGAGAGAAGAATGATTCCTGATTATTCTGGTCCTTAAAACAGAAAACGGATTAAGTTGGCAGCAGGACAGTTTCTGACATCATAGTTTGTGGATCAGGATTAAGGACGTGGAAGTGATTCTGCTGGTTTGGAAACCACTGCGAGAACTGCAGCTCGACCCAGCGTCTATGTTCTTACTGGCTCGAGTTTCATGTATCAGACGGGAGGGGGTCAGGAACAGGAAAGAGGTGGGTGGGTTGGATTAGTGGACCTTCGCCTTGGGTTGAGTGATTCTGCGGACAACACTGTAGAGGACTCCGAAATTCTGTTCAGAGATGACAAAACCAGAGACGGTGTTCAGTTCATGTGTCCAGAAGAAAAGGTCCAAAACACATCAGCACATTCACAAGCAGCTTTTAAAGGTCGCTTGAGAAACAATTTCAGCCTGATTGTATGTTTCATGTAGAGATGAAGTCAAACAGGAAAATCATGGTCCAATTAAATTGTATCTACTTATCAAATAAATCGTTTTTTTAAATTATCAGACCGAACATATTGAAATATGTCAATTCTGATATTCACGCAGCCAAACTAAGAGTTTCTTAGACTCAGCAGGTTCAGACTTTCAAAGTCATCGGATCACTGAGCAGTTCACACAACTTGCTCTCTTGTAAACGGGGGGGGGGGTCTTTCACTCATAGTGACTTCATACAACACAACTGACTGCCGACAAACATGTGATGCATGAACAGCCACTTACCTGGATTGCTAGGTACATCATCCCTAAGTAGGCTGCGATGCAGACAGCCAGCAGCAGGTCGAAAATAGCAGGCTTCACTCTGAGGGAGAGAGAACAGCAGCAGAGAGAGGGAGCGTTAAACAGTGAAAGACAGTTAGAAATGGTCGCTCTCATTATGTGATGGCCGTTTTTCAGTAAGGACTAAAATGTAAGAAATGTAGTGAACTGAGGATTCATTGCAACCAAACGAGACAGACTGCTGATGTTCCAGATAGCCGAGAGCCGGAGAGCTTTTACTGAGCGACAGTAAATCAGTATGAGCTGCAGTAAAAGATTATAGATGGATAGGAGGGAGAGGAGCCGATTAAAGTTTACCTGTAAGCATTCATGGTTTGTTTGAGCTGGTCATAGAAAACAAACTCTGGATCCCTGAGGAGGAGAAAGATGAAAACTTTAACATCAAGAGCAGAAAACCGATCAAAACGCACTGATATGAATATTATTTGACGACCTGCATTTCAAACCGTAACCCAGTGTGCATCAGTGTTTTCTGTTCCACCCTCGTGTTTACCTTTTGTCAGCTTTGACATAGTGTCTCTTGACGTCCTTGAGGTAACGTCCGAGGTGATACTCCAGAGTGGACACCACGCTGCTGTCTTTGTCCAGCAGCTGTGCAGCACGTGGCTGCGCTGTGAGCCAGTCCACCACCGCCGATAACTGCTCCTCCTGCACCTGCTGATGTGGCACAAGCCAAATTATTACTACTTCACAATATGAACACGATATGAACACGGCCCAACAGAGATTTACCACCAGCCTGTGATGAAAAACACCAAAGTGAAATAAATGTAAAAACTGTAGATAATCATTATATTAAGTAATACCTGTGTTTCTAAGTAATTTGACCTGCTTGCTTTTAGATTTTAATTTTTACTGAATAATATTCTAAATATTCTGAACAACACAAGTTATGAACTAGAACAAAAGGAGGCCAATGTTACCAATGTTTTATTTTCTTGTGGAGATCTATTACGACTGTGCCCACATGAGAGCCGCATCAGGAGTTTCCAGTCTTGGCAGGTTCAGGGACTTGTCTATTGCAGCAGCGCCCTCTGCAGCAGCACATGTGTATTAAGTCTGTTGGGATCCGTGTCCAAGCTATTAAGTGGTTTTCATTTATATAAAAACCCCAAAGCTTATCATCTCTGACTGAGTAGTTTCCTCTCTGAATACTGGAGATGAACTCTGGTTTTCAACTTAATTACTCTTGATTCTGACAACTGATGCTGCAACTTTCAGTCGTTGACACACTTCTCGCTAAAGTTAGAAACAGCAAGAACGTTCAGGGTGAGGATGGAAGTGGCTTCATTTTCCATATTTCACACAGATTCTGAAGCTGTGATTATGTGGTAAGAAAAGTTGAATAGCGTTGCTTTCATGCAGGGACACGTTTCAGCTGTCATGGATTAATCTGTTTCATTAAATCCAGTTTTATTGTGTGGTGCCAAATCTGCTCGTCATTGTTCGTGCAGTCAGTTTTGCTCCAGAAACACAGCTAAACTTTAAAATGATGCAATAACCTGAAAACCTTCCCCTGCCAAGGTTTTACCTGCATCACTGAGTCTCTTACAGTGCATGTAATTTTAATGACTTACCATTTGTTCAGTGAAGATCTGCAGGTCTCCGGGGGCCCCCTGAGCAGCAGAACATAAATATCACATCACAGGCAGGTAACAGGCAAAGCTTTTACTGTTTCCCCCCCATACATTTTCTCATCATTCATTTATACCTTCTCTGTGAGGTTGTAGATGACCCTGGCCAGTGCCTCTGCTACCACCTTGGTGTTCCTGCCAAGTTTCTTTACATCGACGTGAGGCCTGTAAGACACAATCACAAGTTTGCTGACAGTTCGAGAGATAGTAAAAAGACAAAGAGTCTGATCCCAGAGCACCTAGAGCCACCGAAGAGTAGGTTTAGAAAAATACAGACAGACTGACAGAGCGAAGGACCGCTACAGAAGTAAAAGAGGATTAATAGAAGTTAAACAATTGTAAATTGTAACTGATGATGGATATGATTACCCTGATCAAGCACCTGAACAATTCAGTTTGTCATGAAAGTGACATCAACGATATGAAGGAAGACAGCTAGGATGGAAACTTGGTGATTGAGAGACTTGCAGTAATGAACCCACCCAGCAGGGGGCTCTCCCGCTCCGTGGCGAGAGGAGGGGGACACTGACCGCGAGTCCATGATGCTGGAGCGCTGAGCCAGGCGGTGCGAGGGGAGGTGTGACAGAGTGAAGGCCGGCAGCCGGCGGATCCCGAAGCGCTCGTGCTCCCAGGCCAGCATGTCGTCGGCCAGGTTGATTTTCTTGTGGACCATGGAGAACTTGACCTCCGGGTACTGACTGCTCACCACCTGAGGAAGAGAGGGGGACAGGAAACAACGGCCGCTGCGTCAGTTTCCTGAAACTTTTCTACAGGCTTAAAATTAAAGGTGCAGTGAAACAAACTAGTGTGGCTGGGTTTAAGTTTGCTGATATACTCAGATATGAAAACTTTGGATGTCAATTTCTTCTGAATATATAAAATCGGCTTTCTTTACTCACCTGTTTAAGGATCTAGATAAATGTCTAATTATTTAACTGTATCTCTGTCTGAAGTGTATCAAGCAGCGTCATTCTTACCGTCTCCAGCTCCTTGAGCAGAGAATACTGTGGAGTTCCCTCTTTAGGAGGTTTGGACACATGGAGGTGCATAGAGTCTCCGTTCCCCAGAGTGTCCAGACACAACACGAAGGCCACGTTGTCCTGCAGCAGACTGGAGTCTATTGTCAGAGGAAGAGGTGCAACAGTAGAGAGAGATAATAAATATATTAATGATTGTCGAATCAAGTAGCATATATAAGAAAAAACTAGA